ATGTTTGTGCTATGTTCATTTGTGTTTTTTCATGTTTGTGCGCGTTCGTGCATTCATTTTATTGTTCAGTTTGGTGTAAGTTAGCAATTGGCTTTCATTTTCGTGATTATGCATCTCATTTGAATTGTCGAGTGCACAAAAGTGCGCAAAAGTGCGAGAAGGCACACAAAGATAAACACCTAGCCAAACTGAAACTGTGACAAAATGAATACGTAGTTCATCAGATGCACACTTTCGCACGCGAAAGTGCACGAAAGTGCACAAACATGCACAAAAGTGCATGAACACGCACGCAAAATCCTAGACGCACATCGAAAACAAAACTTTGCAGCCAGTGCAAAGGTGAGAATTTATTTCTGTCCAATAACACCCTTGATAACGAATGCGCACGAACATGAACAAATGCGAACAAACATGCACAAACACGCACGAACATGCACACATTAGCGCCATCGCCAATCTCAAAGCAGGGCATAACGAAAACCTGTTGTGAAAGACTTCGCGCAGGTGGGAGATTCACAAGTAATCAAGGATAAATTCCTAGAATAATACTACATGTTCTTATATAGGTTATCTACTTCCTAATCTGGTCAGACCAATAAAATGTACCTTAGGAAGCTGAGACTACAAGGAAACATAATGGGGCGCAGAGCCGAGAGTGCTCTGTGTGGGTCATATCTGAAACAGGCATGACAGATCCATATTGGGCATGACGGCCTAAGCTCGTCATGTTGGTATCTTCGCCGGCGCGGCTGATGCACATCTGGTGCCTCAGATACTACAACAAAACCAAAGCTCAGCGTCATGCATGATTGTGTACGTTTGTGCGCTTTTGTGCACAATCACACACATTTGCCTGCTTTCGTGCACTTTTGTGTGCTTTCATGCTCGTTCGTTCATGTTCGCACACTTTTGTCTGCCAAACTGTACATACAGACTGCACCAGCTCCAAATTCATTTTTTTATCCAATAGCAACCTTCATAGAGGAAGCGTCGCTGGATGTGCAGGTCCGCCACAGGCCCTACAGTTCTCCAGTTCAGTGAGATTCACAACGTTCTTGTACATAGCCTGCTGCCAACAAGCTTTTTCATCCCAGAACTTCTTTGAATTGCTTTTGGATGAGCTATTCCGGGAGGCTGAGAGATTTCCGGATTGGCATGGGGCCGAAAACAGTGCAACTCACACTGGAGTCTGGAGCCACCTACCTTCACTGCGCAAAAATTATGTTACATGACTACTCACTATGCTCACTGTAGGCAAGACTGGCAAAATAGTCGAGCATACTAGACACAGCTAATAAAAGGTAGCTCATGGACATAACTCAAATCACCATACTCGAATCATGATCCAGACTCGGATGCCTTGAAGGTGCCCTTCACTAGCCTCACTCCCGAACTGGCATAAGACAGTGGGAACCTGAATGCGATATTTTTTCTGTGGTTGTGCACCATGGCATATGTCTTGCATCTGTGTTTGTGAGGCGCTAGGAAATGCAAGCATTTGCTCTCAGCTGCAACAGTGACTGTCTAGGGTGAGTATTGGGCAGGTACAGGCACCCAAGCTTGCAGTAGCTTCTGAAGCTCTGAAGCTTGCCTTCTTATGAGAACGTTGGCTGCAATAGTAAGGTTTGTTGGATCATATATCATGAACATCAGGAAACAACGCCAGCGCTACACAGCGCTTTGGATGCTGCGGGTTTCTGGTAGACTGGTAGAATGGTACCCAATTCGGCAGCCCCCTGTGGCTTTCGCTGTGCTTCCATGGCACCAGTAGCTGCCCACCTTTGCTCAGTAGTTCACCGCAGCGTGGTGGGAGCTTGTTTGTAGATGCAAGTAGATGTTACCACTTTCAAGAGTGCACATGGTCACACTGGACATTAATGAGGGATATATATATATATATATATTTAAATATGTATTAAGTTAGGTACATGTTGGTATGCTACACATCCTTCTCGCAGTCATATAGTCATGATAACTTTGGCAGCATGTGCAAATGGTAGGCACAAAAATAGATCTGCAACATATGAGTCAGAGCTATTCATGGTAACAACAGAAGAGGTAGTACTCACCTAAGTGCCAGGCTCTTCAATGGTGGTCACCCTACTTGGCCTGGGAAGCAGTATTGGACTTGATAATCGTGAGGCTATGGTGGAAAGACCAGCATAGCCAGACTTCTATGAGCTAGTGCAAGGTTAGCTCAGTGATAGCCAAGTCGTGCAGAGAAAATACTTACCTTGTCCGTGGCCTGTAGTCCTGCCATCCACATCTGCCCGTATCTGGATCTAGCATGCGCACATGCTAGCCCTGATAAGTCAAAAAGTCAGTGATATGCTGGCTAGAGGACGATCCAACTCTCCGCAGCCATTCGCAGTTCGTAATGCTTACTGCATAGTCCACAAGCTCTTCGCTCAGCAGGACAGAGCACAGCCCTAGGGCGCACTGTTGTTTTTTGTGCTTGCTCCGCCAATGGCAATGCGGCATGTCGGTGGGAGTATGCCCGGAGTCCAGGGATGTTGGGAGCTTTGGCTATCGTGGCCAGCTTTTGTCCATTCTGCCAGAGTCTCATGGAGGACGGGGCGTCTGTGATAGCTGTAGCCTCAGCAGCGCACCAAAGAAATAGTTGAGCTGCGTTACAATGGACTGATGTGGAGGCTGGGACACAAGCTGGGACAACGAGATGTTGGAGCGCTTACCTTTGTCCGTTTGCGCCATCATCCAACACTTTAGGACAGACATCCTTTTACTTACACAGACGCCTCTTGGACGCCCATGCAGGTTTGCCTTGGAGTGCTGCTCATTGGTGCACGTATCCAATTTTGGTCTGGTAATGACACGGGTATGTATCCTGCATACAGATCTGCACACTGTAGCTTGAATAATTGATATAAAATTTCTGGCACATCATAGTGACCCCTAGAATGTGTGTGCTGCTGCTCAGTGCTACCAGGCACTCCTGAGCCCCCACGCATGCGCTACCCAACAAGGGCAGATGCAGTGGCTCAGGGTAGTAAGCACCCTTGCTATGTAGTCAGATGGTGTTTCCTGATGAAGTGAGTGGCTGGCCAATGAAAAGAATGGTCGCCGATCGGAAGGACTACGTGCCGCGAGCACATGTACATCCTTCAATGAGTTTGTGCGACATAGAATCTCAACAAACTTGCACACACAGCAGCTACGTGCTCCGAAAGACTTATAAGCCAGTGTCAGAATCAGCTTCATCTCCTTAATAGCCTTCGCCACTGTGTCCCAGTTCTGCACTGCAATTTTACTGCAACACCCGGTTCAAATACTACCTCTATTGAGGACAATATGGTCAGCCTAAGTGGAAACTACTTAGTAGGTAGTCCTAGCATTCTGACATGCTCTTGAGCAGTGCCGCAACGGTGACCCAAACTGTGACAACGAGTAAATCTGCAACGCCTGCTATAATGCCTCCACGATGTTTCATGGCTATCCGGGTTTCTACCAGAGCGTGAAATCACACCCTACTCCGCACCTGAAATCACAGGTGTACAGCTATTCAGGGAACCAGCGTCCTGGGCCATCTATCCAAAAAGGTCAGCAGATATATAGCTGAATATAGATTTTGTAGACTTTTGAGCAGATAGACTAAACTGTTGCTTGTAGGTCAGAAATAGGCACTTAAGAGAACAGTGCAGGTTTTTATCAGACGAGTCTCGACATAGGCACAGGACCGAGCTGTATTTTCAACATGGCTTTATCGTGACACATTGTGTCTTTAGCAAACCATTTGCACTATCTTCGAGGCAGATGTCATAGCCAAATGGGTTCATCTGCAACTTGTGACTGGGGGCGGATATGTACACTACTCTAGCATCACTGCCACCAGCTCTCAACTCTGCATCGCACGCAGTGCCCTCGATATCGTCCACTCTCTAACACATTATGGACCACATATCTCATGCATGGTCCATATTATCATTTGCAGTCTTTGCCCTTGCATCCAATGCCCCCACAAGACAGTCAAGCAAAGCCTCCAGGTGCTCGAGCTGACCATCAAAGGAGGAGAGGCAATTTTGTATTCTTTCCAGCTGACCATCGAAGGACGAGAGGCGGGCTTGTAGCCTACTCTCAAATGACGAGATGTGGTCTTGCACTTTGAGAAACGTCTCCGTGATGGGGATATCAGATGTGGTTTCTGTAGGCTCAATTGGCGCTCGCTGATAGAGGACGAGATGATGGTTGAAGGTGTGAGCAACTCTGGTTTGTGCAGGTGCGCTTTCATCTCCATCTTCTGTCTCGGTCCGGCCTAGAGCATTACCACCCCCCGCTTTCATGCTGCTTGCGGTGTCCTCTTCCTTGCTATCAGCTCCTCTGTCCTGTTCACCTGTCATGGCAAGAAGGGTGTCGCCCATCTTAATGGTTTCAAATGTTTCTGCGTCTTGATTGTCTGTGTCATCTGGATAGGAGGAGCTAGCTCCCCGGAGACAGTCCACAGAGGATTGAGAGGAATTTTGCCCGCCTTCTCCGGCTTCGTCCGCAGCCGAGACCTGAGCATCGTGGCTGTTTTCGGTCTCAGAGAAGCCGGCGGCCACTACGGAAGCATAAGTAGCAAATGAAATCTCATCGCCGTGAGCTAGTGCGTCATCTTTCTCCACCTTGCACTTCATACATATACACGTGCTTCCTGCGAGAATTAACCACAAGAAAGAAGATGGGTTGAGCTGATCTCACCTTCGCAATCAATGCAGTACCAATACGGAGCCTCGAGCATCTTGTGGCAGTAGTGACAAGTGAGTGCGATGGGCGACTCAGATTTCGTGTCTGTGCAGAATAGTGTTCATCAGGACAGAGTTGCCAAGAGAGTCCACAGAGAAAATAAACCTGCGGCTTGCATATCGTCGATAAGACATCTTGCCAGTAATATCAAGTCGAACTCCTCTCTCTTGGAAGTTGGATTCCTCAGTTGATAAATGGCGTGTGATGGGACATGATCCATATTGCCTGTTCCACGAGCTGAGGGCTCGTGGGCGCAATTGGAACACAGATCTACTGTGGGAACTATTCCCTGACCCAAAGGTTTTCCAGTCTCAGGCTCTACGCACAGACAGTAGAGGCAAATATACCGAGTGGACACGATAACGCTGTCGCAGGAGTCACAGAACGTACCCCTACACCAAAGCCGTGATAAGTCCTATTTGCACATACATGTGGCGCCGCACTTACCAGTATACTCGCTGTCTGCAACGTATTATCAAGGAGAGCTTCCGATATAGCTGTAGGTCCTGCTTCGAACACATCGCCGCATGCGAAGCAAGCTCCTCCGACTCCTCTGGAGATAATGTCACCTGATATGAGG